TATGATCCCAGCCTACTCTATGATCTAAACCTCCCATATGATCCCAGCCTACTCTATGATCTAAACCTCCCATATGATCCCAGCCTACTCTATGATCTAAACCTCCCATATGATCCCAGCCTACTCTATGATCTAAGCCTCCTGTATGATTCCAGCCTACTCTATGATCGCAGTCTACGGTATTATCCCAGCCTACTCTATGATCGCAGTCTCCGGTATTATCCGAGCCTACTCTATGATCGCAGTCTCCGGTATTATCCAAGCCTACTCTATGATCTAAGCCTCCTGTATGATTCCAGCATGATCCAAGCCTACTCTATGATCTAAACCTCCCGTATGATCTCGACCTATTCTATGATCTAAACCTCCCGTATGATCCCAGCCTACTCTATGATCTAAGCCTCCTGTATGATCCCAGCCTACTCTATGATCTCAGTCTCCGGTATGATCCCAGCCTACTCTATGATCTAAGCCTTCTGTATGCTCCAAGCCTACTCTATGATCTAAACCTCCCATATGATCCCAGTCTACTCTATGATCTAAGCCTCCTGTATGATCCCAGCCTACTCTACGATTTAAACCTCCCATATGATCCCAGCCTACTCTATGATCTAAGCCTCCTGTAAGATCCCAGCTTACTCTATGACCTCAGTCTCCGGTATGATCCCAGCCTACTCTATGATCTAAGCCTTCTGTATGATTCCAGCCTACTCTATGATCTAAACCTCTCGTATGATCCCAGCCTACTCTATGATCTAAGCCTCCTGTATGATTCCAGCCTACTCTATGATCGCAGTCTCCGGTATTATCCCAGCCTACTCTATGATCGCAGTCTCCGGTATTATCCCAGCCTACTCTATGATCGCAGTCTCCAGTATTATCCCAGCGTACTCTATGATCTAAGCCTCCTGTATGATTCCAGCATGATCCCAGCCTACTCTATGATCTAAACCTCCGGTATGATCTCGGCCTATTCTATGATCTAAACCTCCCGTATGATCCCAGCCTACTCTATGATCTAAACCTCCTGTATGAACCCAGCCTACTCTATGATCTAAGCCTCCTGTATGATTCCAGCCTACTCTATGATCGCAGTCTCCGGTATTATCCCAACCTACTCTATGATCGCAGTCTCCAGTATTATCCCAGCGTTCTCTATGATCTAAGCCTCCTGTATGATTCCAGCCTACTCTATGATCGCAGTCTCCGGTATTATCCCTGCCTACTCTATGATCGCAGTCTCCAGTATTATCCCAGCGTTCTCTATGATCTAAGCCTCCTGTATGATTCCAGCCTACTCTATGATCGCAGTCTCCGGTATTATCCCAGCCTACTGTATGATCGCAGTCTCCGGTATTATCCCAGCCTACTGTATGATCGCAGTCTCCGGTATTATCCCAGCCTACTCTATGATCGCAGTCTCCGGTATTATCCCAACCTACTCTATGATCGCAGTCTCCAGTATTATCCCAGCGTACTCTATGATCTAAGCCTCCTGTATGATTCCAACCTACTCTATGATCTAGGCCTCCTGTATTATCCCAGCCTACTCTATGATCTAAACCTCCCGTATGATCCCAGCCTACTCTATGATCTAAGCCTCCTGTATGATTCCAACCTACTCTATGATCTAGGCCTCCTGTATGATCCCAGCCTACTCTATGATCTAAACCTCCTGTATGATCCCAGCCTACTCTATGATCTAAGCCTTCTCTATGGTCCCAGCCTCCTGTATGATCTCGGCCTTCTCTATGGTCCCAGCCTCCTGTATGATCTCGACCTACTCTATGCTCTAAGCCTCCTGTATCATCCAAGCTTACTGAATGATCTCAGTCTACTCTATGATCTTAACTTCTACTATGGTATTTGCCTCGAGCTCATTCATATTATGTATTTAGACAAATTTCCCGTATTGATAACCATCCATTCCATGATAAAGATATTAAACTTTGTGTTCTTGTTTCCAGTCTGTTTACCATTGTGAGTGCCCCCATTGTCAGTTTATGTACAGACGGAGGTGTGGTGGTGCAGAATGTAACTACAGTACAGACGTTTCAGATAGGATTCAGGTAAGTAACATTGCAATAAATATTCTCTTACTGAAACTCGTCACAGACCATAAATATTATCTTTCTGAAACTGGTCACAGACCATAAATATTATCTTTCTGAAACTGGTCACAGACCATAAATATTATCTTTCTGAAACTGGTCACAGACCATAAATATTATCTTTCTGAAACTGGTCACAGACCATAAATATTATCTTTCTGAAACTCGTCACAGACAATAAATATTATCTTACTGAAACCTGTCACAGACCGACGTTTCAGATAGGATTCAGGTAAGTAACATTGCAATAAATATTCTCTTACTGAAACTCGTCACAGACCATAAATATTACCTTTCTGAAACTCGTCACAGACCATAAAAACTATCTTTCTGAAACTCGTCACAGACCATAAATATTACCTTTCTGAAACTCGTCACAGACCATAAAAACTATCTTTCTGAAACTCGTCACAGACCATAAATCTTATCTTTCTGAAACTCGTCACAGACCATAAAAACTATCTTTCTGAAACTCGTCACAGACCATAAAAACTATCTTTCTGAAACTCGTCACAGACCATAAATATTATCTTTCTGAAACTCGTCACAGACCATAAAAATTATCTTTCTGAAACTCGTCACAGACCATAAATATTATCTTACTGAAACTCGTCACAGACCATAAATATTATCTTTCTGAAACTCGTCACAGACCATAAAAACTATCTTTCTGAAACTCGTCACAGACCATAAAAATTATCTTTCTGAAACTTGTCTTAGACAATAAATATTATCTTACTGAAACCCGTCACAGACCATAAATATTATCTTTCTGAAACTCGTCACAGACCATAAATATTATCTTTCTGAAACTTGTCTTAGACAATAAATATTATCTTACTGAAACCTGTCACAGACCATAAATATTATCTTTCTGAAACTCGTCACAGACCATAAAAATTATCTTACTGAAACTCGTCACGGTCAAAGAGTCAAAATAAACTCAATTAAATATATTGGTTGCAGATGTACTAATATTGAATCTGTTTTGTTTACTAGTGAGGCCACCTTATCTGCTGTAGACGTCACATGTAGCCAAACAAGTAAGTGCAACATATTATGTATCTATATCTATTTATCTATAGGCTTATTACTGATAGCCAATAATCCACACAAATTAATTGTCTATTATTTTTTAGCCTACCATCATCAAATGGTTGGCTGATCAAATCACATTTTTGTCCTTGGTCCATCGTCTATACTTCTAGCTGTAAGAAGTTCTTGTTATTGCTATCTATCAAAAAATACTAAAAGGATCTTTTTTATATTTATAATATGGAGGTTTCCCATTTTTCATATGAGACAGATCAGAACAACAAGATGGCCACAAGATTTGAAGATTAAGTTTATTTGTTATCATTATTTCACATAAAGTATTTGACAGAACTTTCTCAAATTCATATACAGGCTCCCCTTGGTCTGTAGTTGTGTATGTTTTATTTTGTGACTGAACGGAAAGTCAACACCGCCACCAGGCTGCCATCTTGGATTTTGATAGTTAATGTTTGTTAATTCTTAACAATGAATAGTGACCTCACATTGAAAGGATGTGTTCCTTACCAGCAGTATGGAAATTGTTATTTTTTAAAATTTTTACAAGTTTCTACAAGATCAATTTACTGTTGACAAGACTCAATCTAACAAGAAACAGTTCTGTATGACGACATTCTCTATAACATGTCATTGGTTCTTTCGTGTCTTCAAACCTATTACATTGATCTGCTGGTTCATTATGGTTTACTCCGTAATTAGTTATAGTTATTTGTTAAAATATGATATTGAATTGCAACATGCAAATACATTGATATTTTAAAATTTTAGCTGGAATTGATGTAACTACTCTGAACATTTCACTTGCCTCATCTGGTGTCAATGAAAGCAAAATCACGGTAAGATCAACACAGCTGTTGTCAATGACAACAGAGCACAGTAAGCTTACAACAGCTGTTGTAAATGACAACAAGACCACAGTAAGCTTACCACAGCTGTTGTCAATGACAACAGAGCACAGTAAGCTTACAACAGCTGTTGTAAAAGACAACAAGACCACAGTAAGCATACCACAGCTATTGTAAATAACAACAAGACCATAGTAAGCTTACCAGAGCTGATGTTAATGACAAAAGATAACAGTAAGCTTACCACAGCTATTGTAAATGACAACAAGACCACAGTTAGCTTACCACAGCTGATGTCAATGACAAAAGATAACAGTAAGCTTACCACAGCTATTGTTAATGACAACAAGACCACAGTAAGCTTACCACAGCTGTTGTCAATGACAACAGAGCACAGTAAGCTTACAACAGCTGATGTAAATGACAACAAGACCACAGTTAGCTTACCACAGCTGATGTCAATGACAAAAGATAACAGTAAGCTTACCACAGCTGTTGTCAATGACAACAAGACCACAGTAAGCTTACCACAGCTATTGTAAATAACAACAAGACCATAGTAAGCTTACCACAGCTGATGTTAATGACAAAAGATAACAGTAAGCTTACCAGAGCTGATGTTAATGACAACAAGACCACAGTTAGCTTACCACAGCTGATGTCAATGACAAAAGATAACAGTAAGCTTACCAGAGCTGATGTTAATGACAAAAGATAACAGTAAGCTTACCAGAGCTGACGTTAATGACAACAAGACCACAGTTAGCTTACCGCAGCTGATGTCAATGACAAAAGATAACAGTAGCTTACCACAGCTGTTGTCAATGACACCAAGACCACAGTAAGCTTACCACAGCTGTTGTAAATGACAACAAGACCACAGTTAGCTTACCGCAGCCGATGTCAATGACAAAAGATAACAGTAAGCTTACCACAGCTGGTGTCAATGACAACAAGACCACAGTAAGCTTACCACAGCTGTTGTCAATAACAACAAGACCATAGTAAGCTTACCAGAGCTGATGTTAATGACAAAAGATAACAGTAAGCTTACCAGAGCTGATGTAAATGACAACAAGACCACAGTTAGCTTACCGCAGCTGATGTCAATGACAAAAGATAACAGTAAGCTTACCACAGCTGTTGTCAATGACAACAAGATCACAGGAAGCTTACCACAGCTGTTGTCAATGACAAAAAGACCACAGTAAGCTTACCACGGCTATTGTAAATAACAACAAGGCCATAGTAAGCTTACCACAGCTGTTGGCAATGACAACAATACCACAGTAAGCTTACCACAGCTGATGTTAATGACAACAAGATCACAGTAAGCTTACCACAGCTGATGTTAATGACAACAAGATCACAGTAAGCTTACCACAGCTGTTGGCAATGACAACAAGATCCCAGTAAGCTTACCACAGCTGTTGGAAATGACAACAAGACCACAGTAAGCTTACCACAGCTGTTGTCAATGACAACAAGACCATAGTAAGCTTACCACAGCTGTTATCAATGATAACAAAACAATGTTAAGCTCACCAGAGTTGTGTTTTTCTGGACAAAAAGACCACAATAAGCTCACCCCAGCTGTTGTCAATAACATGATCATTCAAAGCTTACCACAACTTTATTGAAATATGGATATTATTACAAGCAGGATATACATTGTCCAAATTTTATGTAAATCAAAATGTATTGTTATTTTTTACATTTAGAAATCAAAATAATGAGTTAGAATAAGATGTGTGAGCTATGGAGACACCAGTGTCACCTACAGTAATATTTTGAACAATGTGATGTGATCTTGCAGTTGTATACATTTTCTGTTTTACTTTCATTGATTTATTTCTGTAGACGTATATATGTAATGTGTGTATGTATATTCCAATATTGTTTGTAGGTAAGTTACACACTGGTCACTGCCGGCACACCTGTAAATGTCCAATGTTCTGGTCAGTCACAGACGGGAACACAGTACCAAACAGCCACTTCTAGAGGTAAATATCCAAGTCATCTCCTACAAATCAAATTATGTATTTCTTGCTTATTTATACCTATTTTAGCATATACACTTTAAAATGTTGGTTCAAATGTTTGATTTAAAATTTACTGATACAGATAAGTCCTATGCTGATGTATACAAGTACTGTATACTAGGAAACTAGAAAATGTTGCTTTTCATTATATATATAAGTTTGCTTATAAAATAAAAATGTAAATATTTTAAGCTGTATGCTTATATTCTCGCTCATGTTATATTCTCGCTCATGTTATGTCATGTTCTCCTTCATGTTATATTCTCCTCATGTTATATTCTCCCTCATGTTATGTTATATTCTCCCTCATGTTATATTCTCCTCATGTTATATTCTCCCTCATATTATATTCTCCCTCATGTTATATTCTCCCTCGTGTTATATTCAACCTCATGTTATGTTATATTCTCCCTCATTTTGTGTTATATTCTACCTCATGTTATGTTCTCCCTTATATTCTCTCTCATGTTATATTCTCCCTCATGTTATATTCTCCTTCATGTTATATTCTCCCTCGTGTTATATTCTCCCTCATGTTATATTCTCCCTCATGTTATATTCTCCTCATGTTATATTCTCCCTCATATTATATTCTCCCTCATGTTATATTCTCCCTCGTGTTATATTCAACCTCATGTTATGTTATATTCTCCCTCATTTTGTGTTATATTCTACCTCATGTTATGTTCTCCCTTATATTCTCCCCCATGTTTTGTTATATTCTCCCTCGTGTTATATTCTCCCTAATGTTATATTCTCCCTCATGTTATATTCTCCCTCATGTTATATTCTCCCTCATGTTATATTCTCCCTCATGTTATATTCTTCCTCATGTTCTGTTATATTCTCCCTCATGTTATATTCTCCCTCATGTTTTGTTATATTCTCCTTCATGTCATGTTATATTCTCCCTCATGTTTTGTTATATTCTCTCTCATGTTATGTTGTATTTTCCCTCGTGTTATATTCTCCCTCGTGTTATTTTCTCCCTCGTGTTATATTCTCCTTTATGTTATATTCTCCCTCGTGTTATATTCTCCCTCATGTTATATTCTCCCTCATGTATTATTCTCCCTCATGTTATATTCTCCCTCATGTCATGTTATATTCTCCCTCATGTTATGTTATATTCTCCCTCATGTTATGTTCTCCCTCATGTTTTGTTCTCCTTCATGTTATATTCTCCTTCATGTTATATTCTCCCTCATGTTAAATTCTCCCTCATGTTATATTCTCCCTCATGTTATGTTCTGCCTCATGTTTTGTTCTCCTTCATGTTATATTCTCCTTCATGTTATATTCTCCTTCATGTTATGTTCTCCCTCATGTTATATTCTCCTTCATGTTATATTCTCCCTCATGTTATATTCTCCCTCATGTTATATTCTTCCTCATGTTATATTCTCCCTCATGTTATATTCTCCCTCATGTTATGTTCTCCCTCAGGTTATATTCTCCTTCATGTTATATTCTCTCTCATGTTATATTCTCTCTCATGTTATATTCTCTCTCATGTTATATTCTCCCTCATGTTATATTCTCCCTCATGTAATGTTATATTCTCCCTCATGTTATATTCTCCCTCATGTCATGTTCTCCCTCATGTTATATTTTCCCTTATGTTATGTTCTCATCATGTTATATTCTCCCTCATGTTATATTCTCTTTCATGTTATGTTCTCCCTCATGTTATATTCTCCTTCATGTTATATTCTCCCTCATGTTATGTTCTCCCTCATGTTATGTTCTCCCTCATGTTATATTCTCCCTCATGTTATGTTATGTTCTCCCTCATGTCATGTTCTCCTTCATGTTACATTCTCCCTCATGTTATGTTCTCCTTCATGTTATATTCTCCCTCATGTTATATTCTCCCTCATGTTATGTTATATTCTCCCTAATGTTATATTCTCCCTCATGTTATATTCTCCCTCATGTATTATTCTCCCTCATGTTATATTCTCCTACATGTTATATTCTCCCTCATGTTATATTCTCCCTCACGTCATGTTATATTCTCCCTCATGTTATATTCTCCCTCATGTCATGTTCTCCCTCATGTTATATTCTCCCTTATGTTATTTTCTCCCTCATGTTATATTCTCCTTCGTGTTATATTCTCCCTAATGTGATATTCTCCCTCATGTGTTGTTCTGATGTTTTGTTATATTCTCCCTCGTGTTATATTCTCCCTAATGTTATATTCTCCCTCATGTTATGTTCTCCCTCATGTTATGTTCGCCCTCATGTTATATTCTCCCTCATGTTATATTCTCCCTCATCTTATGTTATATTCTCCCTCATGTTATATTCTCCCTCATGTTATATTCTCCCTCATGTTATATTCTCCCTCATGTTATATTCTCCCTCATGTTATATTCTCCCTCATGTTATATTCTCCCTCATGTTATATTCTCCCTCATGTTATATTCTCCCTCATGTTATATTCTCCCTCATGTTATATTCTCCCTCATGTTATATTCTCCCTCATGTTATATTCTCCCTCATGTTATATTCTCCCTCATGTTATATTCTCCCTCATGTTATATTCTCCCTCATGTTATATTCTCCCTCATGTTATATTCTCCCTCATGTTATATTCTCCCTCATGTTATGTTCTCCATCATGTTATATTCTCCCTTATGTTATGTTATGTTATATTCTCCTTCATGTTATATTCTCCCTCATGTCATGTTATATTCTCCCTCATGTCATGTTATATTCTCCCTCATGTTATATTCTCCCTCATGTTATGTTCTCCATCATGTTATATTCTCCCTTATGTTATGTTATGTTATATTCTCCTTCATGTTATATTCTCCCTCATGTCATGTTATATTCTCCCTCATGTCATGTTATATTCTCCCTCATGTTATATTCTCCCTCATGTTATGTTCTCCATCATGTTATATTCTCCCTTATGTTATGTTATGTTATATTCTCCTTCATGTTATATTCTCCCTCATGTTATATTCTTCTTCATGTTATATTCTCCCTTGTGGTATATTCTCCTTCATGTTATATTCTTCCTCATATTATATTCTCCCACATGTTGTGTTATGTTCTCCATCATTCAAAAGGTTGAGTTTTTTCGCTTGCAGGGGATTAAGCAAGGTTCATAATGAATACACTAATTCTACAAATGTTTTACTTTAAGGGTTGAGATTGCATTCACAATGATACACATTCTAAAACATTTTACTTTTAAGGGGGTGTGATTACATTCACGATAAACAACCCACTACTGAGGATTTATCCACGCTACATGGAATCCACTTCGCCTTCCTTCAACGTGAGTCACACCAACTTTTTACTCTAGAACAGACCCAGTGGGACCTAGACAATCATGTTCTGTGATTTGTTCTATCAGGACCATTCCATTTAAAAATTTGTGTTTTGCCCAATAGGAATCACTTCATTGAAATGATCTGTGTTTTGTCCAGTCAGGACCATTCCATTTAAAAATTTGTGTTTTGCCCAATAGGAATCACTTCATTGAAATGATCTGTGTTTTGTCCAATCAGGACCCTTAAGTCATAGGAGTGTATTGATAAACGGAAATAGGAAGTACGTCCCTAGTTGAAAATCCAATGTAGGGAGACAGCATCACAATTTCCGCATATTCTAATGTGTCTAGAGCTGTGATGAATATTGCATGTTTATTATTGACAGAACAGTGTGTTCTCTCAATATTAAAGTGTTTCAAAGCAATCCAGGCATTAATTCAAGTTTTTTTTATCAATGAGTCACATGTGTCCATTTTTCTGTACTTCAGGAAACCGGCTACCTATTTCACTACTGCTTTCAGTTTTTCAAGAACGATAACTCTTACATGCAATTACTATGTGTATATGGTTTTATTATAAAATGTAAATTTTTAATCGTTTATTGATAATTAATTTTACACAATTTCAGCATTTATTAAATTGATATACATTAATGCAATACTTATCTATGTCAGTATCATTTTTATTGACATTATTTTGCAACAAATTGTGTCTTTCATTTTTTTTTCAAAATTCACTCCTTTTTACATAAATTTCCATTTAAAATCCTTAAGACTCTGACAACCTATATTTTTTTTTGTGGCAGAAAATTTTCTTTACTTCAAAGCAATATAACTACAAAATTTGAAGAAATTCTACTGAGAAATGGCGACACAATCCTATTACCTTAATGTGCTCTGTTAAAAATTATGATTGGACTCTGTTATTTGTAATTCATCAGTATAGTTGTGTAAACACAATAGTGAACTTAAAAACTATCAGGAAAAGTAAAACAGATCTATTTCTGGTATGCCTCTGATTTACTGAATTTAACTAAAGATATTTCCTGTGTTCACAGTTGCTGTTACTACTGGAGTCCGTGCCTGATACAGGGTTACCTCCCCTGGGCTGCCAGGCTGTCCTCTTCAACACGACCCAACAGGTGAACCAGGCACTGAACCCGACCAATCAGGAGGCCAATTGTCCCTCCACTACAGTCACTACAACATCAACAAGTAGGAACCTTGATAAACTGATTGATGTGTTTTTTGCGTGATACTTATAACATCGACACGTGTGGCTGGCGTTCTATAAATATCAAATGCTTAGGGTCAGGGTTTATCTTTACCAGACTATTTCCTGGTTAATATTAGTAAATGCATTTTGATCTAATTTTGCAAAGAGCAAAACTTGACCAAAAAAATGTAAAACATTGTTAATATGAAGGAGGTGGCCCGTCAGCTTCTTGTTTATCATCAAGTGATTTGCGGCGTCTAACTTATTTACCAAATACCTACTCTTGTGATGTAGGGTTTACTTACTAATGATTGTTTGTTTGTCATTTTTCTTTCATCCCCTGCTTCTTTGGAATTGTATTATTTGGTGAGTTTCCACCCGTGACGGGTAGAATATCAGCACAGATAAGTGATCTGCACTTGTGAAGGGTATATGTTGTAGACAGAAAATGGCAATAACTCTTCAGGCTAAAGTGTTGACCTTAGAAAAAATAACTGACAGCAAACCTTTTCTTTAAAATAAATCATAATCACATTGTGATGTATTTGTTTCGAGTTTCACATGAGTTATTTGAATTAATTATGTAGAAGACATATTGCCATTATCATATTCAGTGTTGTCGTAATAATTTATTCTGTCACAAAAAAGGATTAGGGGTTTTGAAGAGTCTGGAATTTTGATACTAAATTCTTGCTTAAAATCGTCATTCTAGACGTGAGCACTTGGTGAATACTGCTTATTAACCAGATTGGCTTTGTAAATTAACACTCATGTATCGTAGGTTAGCTATTTGTAATGGTATAATCAGGCTATATACTGGTGTACAGATGTGTATAATAATGTAATGGAAACATGTAAGAATGTGCACTTCATGTATTTACGTTAGATTATTGATACAATTTTAATTCTGTTTGGGAAAAATTCCATTTTTATTTGAAACCAGAGATGTGATTAAAACTCAAACATTACAGGACATGTTAAGGTGGAAAAGCTGGGCCCATTTTTTACTTTTGTTGTCTTCCTCTCGATGAGAAACACTAGAGGTGACGGTAACACAAGATGACCATAGATATCACTGTGAAGTTTCCCGGTGCACTGTGTATAGAAAGCAATTTCTCTTCTGTTTCCATTGACCAATGTTCAAGCAATGTGAAGATGCATATATATTCTGGATGTTACTGACAAAAGTGTTGCTTTGAACTAACCTCTGTGATGCTGTATACTTATACTAGCTTTGGTGCTGTGATGGTTGGTGCTTGGTTGGTGGGGTGGTGGTTGGTGCTTGGTTGGTGGGGTGGTGGTAAAATTCTTGTGGGAATAATCAATATTTCATGGCTTCCTCTTTTCCCTAGCAGAGAGTTTAAATCTTGTTAAATTAAATTAAATTAAATGGACAAATATGAATGGCTATAAGTTCTAAAAGCAAATTATAAATGAACCAGTTTCACGTTTTGTTTTATATATAAATCTGTATTGTTATTACATGTACCGTATATACAATTCAGATGACTGTGGAAGCAAGGGAATGAAAAAGATAGTTTATTTCATATAGATATTTACCAAAGAATTGGACACAAATTTTCACAACTTCTAAAACCTTCTTAATATGCATGAAAAAGAGAGACAAATAGAGTCCGTCAGGCAGGCAGGCAGGCAGAGATAAACAGCCACATTCAGACAAATCTTTGTACTTACGATGGTAATATTGTAAGATCAAGGGAATCAAAGAAACCCTTAAAGGCATGTTGTAGTACGTCTCATGTAGTCAGACAATAAGTATATGTTGTTTGTTACAGCTACCCCTGTGTAGTCAGACAATAAGTATATGTTGTATGTTACAGCTACCCCTGTGTAGTCAGACAATAAGTATATGTTGTATGTTACAGCTACCCCTGTGTAGTCAGACAATAAGTATATGGTGTATGTTACAGCTACCCCTGTGTAGTCAGACAATAAGTATATGGTGTATGTTACAGCTACCCCTGTGTAGTCAGACAATAAGTATATGGTGTATGTTACAGCTACCCCTGTGTAGTCAGACAATAAGTATATGGTGTATGTTACAGCTACCCCTGTGTAGTCAGACAATAAGTATATGGTGTATGTTACAGCTACCCCTGTGTAGTCAGACAATAAGTATATGGTGTATGTTACAGCTACCCCTGTGTAGTCAGACAATAAGTATATGGTGTATGTTACAGCTACCCCTGTGTAGTCAGACAATAAGTATATGGTGTATGTTACAGCTACCCCTGTGTAGTCAGACAATAAGTATATGGTGTATGTTACAGCTACCCCTGTGTAGTCAGACAATAAGTATATGGTGTATGTTACAGCTACCCCTGTGTAGTCAGACAATAAGTATATGGTGTATGTTACAGCTACCCCTGTGTAGTCAGACAATAAGTATATGGTGTATGTTACAGCTACCCCTGTGTAGTCAGACAATAAGTATATGGTGTATGTTACAGCTACCCCTGTGTAGTCAGACAATAAGTATATGGTGTATGTTACAGCTACCCCTGTGTAGTCAGACAATAAGTATATGGTGTATGTTACAGCTACCCCTGTGTAGTCAGACAATAAGTATATGGTGTATGTTACAGCTACCCCTGTGTAGTCAGACAATAAGTATATGGTGTATGTTACAGCTACCCCTGTGTAGTCAGACAATAAGTATATGGTGTATGTTACAGCTACCCCTGTGTAGTCAGACAATAAGTATATGGTGTATGTTACAGCTACCCCTGTGTAGTCAGACAATAAGTATATGGTGTATGTTACAGCTACCCCTGTGTAGTCAGACAATAAGTATATGGTGTATGTTACAGCTACCCCTGTGTAGTCAGACAATAAGTATATGGTGTATGTTACAGCTACCCCTGTGTAGTCAGACAATAAGTATATGTTGTATGTTACAGCTACCCCTGCCCCTGGCACTACTACCACTGCCACGACTGATGTGTCTGGACCAGCCTGGGGCGCCACCATCACGGTGAGATCTTCTGTAAATTAGGTCACTTTTATGGGAACTTATTTTACTTAAGATTGTACATATTGGTAAAAAAACTAAATCACAGGAAGTTGAATTTGCAAAATGAGCAAAAATGAAAGATTTCTGTTGCTCATATCTAAATCAAACTAACAAGTCCACTTTTTAAAAGTTAAAGTATTCAAAATTATAAAAGGAATCATTTGTCTGATGAAGGTGACAAGTTACTAGTCTTCGAAACGTCACGTATAAACATTTACTGGTTGTGATACATAACCTTTCTACAATTCATACCTACCAACCTGACGAAAATGTTTAGAAATAGAAAAAGAATCACTACACAGCTTGGGTCCTCCATTTAGAACATTTTATTGAGATATTTGACCCTGGTATTGGGGACTGCTTGAGTTGGACTTTTAAACAAGGCCTTTGTTACATAGATATGGTGTTTTGGGCTTCAGCACTTTGTAAACATTTTTGATTCATTGTAATGTAGATTTAAGACCGATCCATAGTAATTAAAGAGGGGGCTTTAATCAATTTCTATAAAGTTCTTAAAGTAAATAAAGGCTTATGATCAACATTTAATGACTGAAACTATAATAATTATTACCTTTATACACATGAGTTTTCTGTAAATTGATGAAAATCTTTTTCTTGTTCACTTATTCTGACAATGTTTTGTATGTAGGACTTGGATGAATGCTTCTCACTGACCAGCTACAATGTAATTCAATTCTGACTTACATAACTCTTCTTGTTTTCAATTAAAAATAAAACACTGGGATATATCAACCCTTTTTCTTAAAACAGACAAGCTTGCATTAATCATGTTTTCAATCACAGAAAACCAACCTGGTGAATGTGACTCGTCGAGCAGGCGTCACAGCCGCAGTCACAGAGTATGTTGTGGTGACCTGTTGTACCACTAGTGGTTCGCTGGGACTCACTGATGCTGTGTTTGTGGAGGTCAGTCTCACGCCCAATGTGACACTCGACTGGAGCAAGGCTACAGGTAGGTCAATGATAAATATGTAAGTTGTGTTTGGAATAGCTTTGTGATGATAACTTTTGTACTTGTTATAGAACAGTCCTGTAGTAATACATTTACACTTGTTAACAACATAGCCCTGGTATATACTATGGTCATGGGGAAAAACTGGAGAGTACCTGGAGAAAACACATGTGGTGAAAGGCAAGTGCGCTATTCACTGCATCAGCCAACCACCCAACATAAACTGCAGGCCAGGACAGTTGTGTACCTGAGGGGTATTCTCGTTTAAGGTTTTTAGCTGAGATCACCTAACATAACTACTGAATACATTAATTGTGAAGTACAAATTCTTTTCCAGTAAAAACAGCTATTAATGATGCGAGGAAGTACCAGAACCCGGCTTATGTAGACGTTGCTCCATGTCCTTGTGATCTGACCTTTAACCTCTGTGATATCAACTGTTGCTGTGACACAGTGAGTACTAACCTTTAACCTCTGTGATATCAACTGTTGCTATGACACTGAGAACTGACCTTTAACCTCTGTGATATCATCTGTTGCTGTGACACAGTGAGTACTGATCTTTAACCTGTGTGATATCATCTGTTGATGTGATGCTGAGCATTGACCTTTAACCTCTGTGATATCATCTGTTGCAGTGACACTGTGAGTGAGAACTGACCTTTAACCTGTGTGATATCATCTGTTGATAAGATGCTGAGCATTGACCTTTAACCTCTGTGGTATCAACTGTTGCTCTGACAGAGTGAGTAATGACCTTTAACCTCTGTGATATCAACTGTTGCTATGACACTGAGAACTGACCTTTAACCTCTGTGATATCATCTGTTGATGTGACAGTACTGACCTTTAACCTCTGTGATATCATCTGTTGCTGTGACACTGAGAACTGAACTTTAACCTCTGTGATGTCATCTGTTGATGTGACAGAGTACTGACCTTTAACATTAGTGATATCATCTGTTGCTGTGACACTGAGAACTGACCTTTAACCTCTGTGATATCAACTGTTGCTATGACACTGAGAACTGACCTTTAACCTCTGTGATATCATCTGTTGATGTGACAGAGTACTGACCTTTAACCTCTGTGATATCATCTGTTGCTGTGACACTCTGACTGAGTACTGACCTTTAACCTCTGTGATATCATCTGTTGCTATGACACTGAGAACTGAACTTTAACCTCTGTGATGTCATCTGTTGATGTGACAGAGTACTGGCCTTTAACCTTTGTGATATCATCTGTTGATGTGACAGAGTACTGACCTTTAAACTCTGTGATATCATTTGTTGCTGTGACACTGTGAGTGAGAACTGACCTTTAACCTCTGTGATATCAACTGTTGCTGTGCACTGACACATATCAAGACATAGAAATACAGATAATAAGAAATGTCAAAGTGTTATGAAAAAAATGAAGTTGAAAATGTTTCAATGACACTTGCTTAACTTGATTCACATCCCCTGAGCCTTGTGACATTTCAGGATTGCTCTGATGTGATGAAGAAGTCCTTTTCCAGCTGTATTCCTGGCCTGTATGGAGGACAGTCAGCACCCATTCCGGAGTATGACTGTGACTCCACCCATCCCCTCAAGGACGACTGGTTTCCCATGATGTGTGTATATCGTGAGTACAACGCTCTCCTCGGATACTTCTACGCAAACTCACTCAGCATCCGGGCATCACAAAAATTTGATGAAAAAATTGCAGGAGAAGAATTTTATTCATACAAGTAAGTTAAATAACGATAATAACAATATCTGGTGGTAATAGCTCCTTCATGTGCCCAATATAGGACATCCATGTATCTCATATCATTCTATATATAAATATAGCTGTATACTGCTTATTCTCCTCTGGTGGACCATACTTTTATCTACTCTCTTCAAGTAGGTTAATCTGTATGTTTTGTAATTACTATTTACTTTGTTAATTTATTGCTGCATTGACATTGTCATTGCTCTTTTCTGAGGTGTAAAATAATCAATCTTTGTGTAGGTATAGAAGATTTGGTATTGTGTGTAGGTATAGAAGATATGGTATTGTGTGTAGGTATAGAGATATGGTATTGTGTGTAGGTATAGAAGATTTGGTATTGTGTGTAGGTATAGAAGATTTGGTATTGTGTGTAGGTATAGAAGATATGGTATTGTGTGTAGGTATAGAAGATATGGTATTGTGTGTAGGTATAGAAGATATGGTATTGTGTGTAGGTATAGAAGATATGGTATTGTGTGTAGGTATAGAAGATATGGTATTGTGTGTAGGTATAGAAGATATGGTATTGTGTGTAGGTATAGAAGATATGGTATTGTGTGTAGGTATAGAAGATATGGTATTGTGTGTAGGTATAGAAGATATGGTATTGTGTGTAGGTATAGAAGATATGGTATTGTGTGTAGGTATAGAAGATATGGTATTGTGTGTAGGTATAGAAGATATGGTATTGTGTGTAGGTATAGAAGATATGGTATTGTGTGTAGGTATAGAAGATATGGTATTGTGTGTAGGTATAGAAGATATGGTATTGTGTGTAGGTATAGAAGATATGGTATTGTGTGTAGGTATAGAAGATATGGTATTGTGTGTAGGTATAGAAGATATGGTATTGTGTGTAGGTATAGAAGATATGGTATTGTGTGTAGGTATAGAAGATATGGTATTGTGTGTAGGTATAGAAGATATGGTATTGTGTGTAGGTATAGAAGATATGGTATTGTGTGTAGGTATAGAAGATATGGTATTGTGTGTAGGTATAGAGGATATGGTATTGTGTGTAGGTATAGAAGGTATGTTATTGTATATAGGTATAGAAGATATGGTATTGTGTGTAGGTATAGAAGATATGGTATTGTGTGTAGGTATAGAAGATATGGTATTGTGTGTAGGTATAGAAGATATGGTATTGTGTGTAGGTATAGAAGATATGGTATTGTGTGTAGGTATAGAAGATATGGTATTGTGTGTAGGTATAGAAGATATGGTATTGTGTGTAGGTATAGAAGATATGGTATTGTGTGTAGGTATAGAAGATATGGTATTGTGTGTAGGTATAGAAGATATGGTATTGTGTGTAGGTATAGAAGATATGGTATTGTGTGTAGGTATAGAAGATATGGTATTGTGTGTAGGTATAGAAGATATGGTATTGTGTGTAGGTATAGAAGATATGGTATTGTGTGTAGGTATAGAAGATATGGTATTGTGTGTAGGTATAGAAGATATGGTATTGTGTGTAGGTATAGAAGATATGGTATTGTGTGTAGGTATAGAAGATATGGTATTGTGTGTAGGTATAGAAGATATGGTATTGTGTGTAGGTATAGAAGATATGGTATTGTGTGTAGGTATAGAAGATATGGTATTGTGTGTAGGTATAGAAGATATGGTATTGTGTGTAGGTATAGAAGATATGGTATTGTGTGTAGGTATAGAAGATATGGTATTGTGTGTAGGTATAGAAGATATGGTATTGTGTGTAGGTATAGAAGATATGGTATTGTGTGTAGGTATAGAAGATATGGTATTGTGTGTAGGTATAGAAGATATGGTATTGTGTGTAGGTATAGAAGATATGGTATTGTGTGTAGGTATAGAAGATATGGTATTGTGTGTAGGTATAGAAGATATGGTATTGTGTGTAGGTATAGAAGATATGGTATTGTGTGTAGGTATAGAAGATATGGTATTGTGTGTAGGTATAGAAGATATGGTATTGTGTGTAGGTATAGAAGATATGGTATTGTGTGTAGGTATAGAAGATATGGTATTGTGTGTAGGTATAGAAGATATGGTATTGTGTGTAGGTATAGAAGATATGGTATTGTGTGTAGGTATAGAAGATATGGTATTGTGTGTAGGTATAGAAGATATGGTATTGTGTGTAGGTATAGAAGATATGGTATTGTGTGTAGGTATAGAAGATATGGTATTGTGTGTAGGTATAGAAGATATGGTATTGTGTGTAGGTATAGAAGATATGGTATTGTGTGTAGGTATAGGGATATGGTATTGTGTGTAGGTATAGAAGATATGGTATTGTGTGTAAGTATAGAAGATTTGGTATTGTGTGTAGGTATAGGGATATGGCATTGTGTGTAGATATAGAAGATATGGTATTGTGTGTAGGTATAGAAGATATGGTATTGTGTGTAGGTTAAGGAGATATGGTATTGTGTGTACATGTAGGTATAGAAGATTTGGTATTGTGTGTAAGTATAGAAGATTTGGTATTGTGTGTAGGTATAGAAGATTTGGTATTGTGTGTAGGTATAGGGAAATGGTATTGTGTGTTGGTATAGAAGATATGGTATTGTGTGTAGGTATAGAAGATTTGGTATTGTGTGTAGGTATAGGGATATGGTAGTGTGTGTAGGTATAGAAGATATGGTATTGTGTGTACGTATAGAAGATTTGGTATTGTGTGTAGGTATAGGATTGTGTGTAGGTATAGAAGATATGGTATTGTGTGTACGTATAGAAGATTTGGTATTGTGTGTAGGTATAGGGATATGGTAGTGTGTGTAGGTATAGAAGATATGGTATTGTGTGTAGGAATAGAGATTTGGTATTGTGTGTAGGTATAGAAGATATGTTATTGTGGGTCGGTATAGAAGGTATGGTATTGTGTGTAGGTATAGAGATATGGTATTGTGTGTAGGTATAGAGATTTGGTATTGTGTGTAGGTATAGAGATATGGTATTGTATGTAGGTATAGAAGATATGGTATTGTGTGTAGGTTAAGGAGATATGGTATTGTGTGTACATGTAGGTATAGTAGATTTGGTATTGTGTGTAAGTATAGAAGATTTGGTATTGTGTGCAGGTATAGAAGGTATGGTATTGTGTGTAGGTATAGAGATATGGTATGGTGTTTAAGTATAGAAGATTTGGTATTGTGTGTAGGTATAGAATATTTGGTATTGTGTGGAGGTATAGGGAAATGGTATTGTGTGTTGGTATAGAAGATTTGGTATTGTGTGTAGGTATAGGGATATGGTAGTGTGTGTAGGTATAGAAGATATGGTATTGTGTGTAGGAATAGAAGATTTGGTATTGTGTGTAGGTATAGGGATATGGGATTGTGTGTAGGTATAGAAGATATGGTATTGTGTGTAGGAATAGAAGATTTGGTATTGTGTGTAGGTATAGGGATATGGTATTGTGTGTAGGGATAGAAGATATGGTATTGTGTGTAGGTATAGAAGATTTGTTATTGTGTGTAGGTATAGAAGATTTGGTATTGTGTGTAAGTATAGAAGATTTGTTATTGTGTGTAGGTATAGAAGATTTGGTATTGTGTGTAGGTATAGAAGATATGTTATTGTGGGTCGGTATAGAAGGTATGGTATTGTGTGTAGGTATAGAGATATGGTATGGTGTTTAAGTATAGAAGATTTGGTATTGTGTGTAGGTATAGGGATATGGCATTGTGTGTAGATATAGAAGATATGGTATTGTGTGTAGGTATAGAAGACATGGTATTGTGTGTAGGTATAGAGATTTGGTATTGTGTGTAGGTATAGAAGGTATGTTATTGTATATAGGTATAGAATATATGTTATTGTGTGTAGGTATAGAAGATATGGTATTGTGTGTAGTATAGAAGATATGGTATTGTGTGTAGGTATAGGGATATGGTATTGTGTGTAGGTATAGAAGATATGTGTGTAGGTATAGAAGATATGGTATTGTGAGTAGGTATAGAAGATATGGTATTGTGTGTAGGTTAAGGAGATATGGTATTGTGTGAACATGTAGGTATAGAAGATTTGGTATTGTGTGTAGGTATAGAGATTTGGTATTGTGTGTAGGTATAGAGATATGGTATTGTATGTAGGTATAGAAGATATGGTATTGTGTGTAGGTATAGGGATATGGTATTGTGTGTAGGTATAGAAGATATGGGATTGTGTGTAGGTATAGAAGGTATGGTATTGTGTGTAGGTATAGAGATATGGTATGGTGTGTAAGTATAGAAGATTTGGTATTGTGTGTAGGTATAGTGATATGGCATTGTGTGTAGGTATAGAATATTTGGTATTGTGTGTAGGTATAGAAGATTTGGTATTGTGTGTAGGTATAGAAGATTTGGTATTGTGTGTAGGTATAGAAGGTATGGTATTGTGTGTAGGTATAGAAGATTTGGTATTGTTTGTAGGTATAGAAGATATGGANGTGTAGGTATAGAAGGTATGGTATTGTGTGTAGGTATAGAAGATTTGGTATTGTGTGTAGGTATAGAAGATATGTTATTGTGGGTAGGTATAGAAGGTATGGTATTGTGTGTAGGTATAGGGATATGGTATTGTGTGTAGGTATAGAAGATATGGTATTGTGTGTAGGTATAGAAATTTGGTATTGTGTGTAGGTATAGAAGATTGGGTATTGTGTGTAGGTATAGAAGATTTGGTATTGTATATAGGTATAGAAGATTTGGTATTGTGTGAAAGTATAGAAGATATGGGATTGTGTGTAGGTATAGAGATTTGGTATTGTGCGTAGGTATAGAAGATTTGGTATTGTGTGTAAGTATAGAAGATTTGGTATTGTTTGTAGGTATAGAAGATATGGAATTGTGTGTAGGTATAGAAGGTATGTAGGTATAGAGATTTGGTATTGTGTGTAGGTTTAGAAGATTTGGTATTGTGTGTAGGTATACAAGATATGTTATTGTGGGTAGGTATAGAAGGTATGGTATTGTGTGTAGGTATAGGGGTATGGTATTGTGTGTAGGTATAGAAGAATTGGTATAGTGTGTAGGTATAGAAGATATGTTATTGTGGGTAGGTATAGAAGGTATGGTATTTTGTGTAGGTATAGGGATATGGTATTGTGTGTATGTATAGAAGATTTGGTATTGTGTGTAGGTATAGTGATATGGCATTGTGTGTAGGTATAGAATATTTGGTATTGTGTGTAGGTATAGAAGATATGGTCTTGTGTGTAGGTATAGAAGATATGTTATTGTGGGTAGGTATAGAAGGTATGGTATTGTGTGTAGGTCTAGAAGATTTGGTATTGTTTGTAGGTATAGAAGGTATGGTATTGTGTGTAGGGATAGAAGATTTGGTATTGTGTGTAGGTATAGAAGATTGGGTATTGTGTGTAGGTATAGGGATATGGTATTGTGTGTAGGTATAGAGATTTGGTGTTGTGTGTAGGTATAGAAGATTTGGTATTGTTTGTAGGTATAGAAGATATGGAATTGTGTGTAGGTATAGAAGATTTGGTATTGTTTGTAGGTATAGAAGTTATGGAATTGTGTGTAGGTATAGAAGGTATGTAGGTATAGAGATTTGGTATTGTGTGTAGGTTTAGAAGATTTGGTATTGTGTGTAGGTATAGAAGATTTGGTATTGCACCCTTGGATGTAAACTTTGTAGTCAGAAGCTCATCCAGCCTCAGTTCTGACCCAAATTTTGTACCTTTTGCTAGAATTTCTGTTTCTGTCATACATACATATCGATCTATAAACGTTCCATACATTTAATACTGTTTTTTGTTCTACATATTATTGCTAGAAATGCAAAGTAATGAAGTGCATATTAAAAAATTCAGTACGTCCACCAGAAAGACTAAGTATAAATATATATAATGATTGTGATTTCAAAGTAAATGTTAAAAATAATTTCTACTGACTGTTTTACATTTCATACTGTTTTTGGTTCTACATATTATTGCTAGAAATGCAAAGTAATGAAGTGCATATTAAAAAATTTAGTACGTCCACGCAGAAAGACTAAGTATAAATATATATAATGATTGTGATTTCAAAGTAAATGTTAAAAATAATTTCTACTGACTCAGTGACTGTAAGACCATGCTATTAAACCAAGTGTATTTCCTTCTGTTGTAACATCTTAATGTGTTGTTTTAAATATCAGTTATTGCCTCGTGTTATAGGGAGGAGGAGTTGAAGACATCCCCTGTGTCGTCGACAGCTTACATGTCCGGATCGTCAGTGACAGTTACCCAGGACGAGACAAGCCAACAGTTTTCCGTACCCCTGGTACTTCCTCACCGTGTGTTGTCAGGCCAATGTGCCATGGCTTCTCCTGTCCGTTACCTGGAGGACGATAAATCTGACTGTCTCCTCGACTTAAACCAGGCCTCGTGTTCTGTGGACGGGTCCTTTAATGCGCTGTTTTACGTCGAGTCCAGCAGTACCAGGAGCCCATCCTGTCCGAAACTTTTCGTTGTTCGTGGTAGCAACGGTGTGGAAGCTGCAACAGTAGCTGTTACATCTGTAAATTATCACTGTACCACGGACTTCGCGGGATACCTGAAAAACACAACTACTTTGTTACCAACACGACCTACAAACTCCACAACGTTTAACTACACGTTGCCGAACCTTTCCGATCAGGACTCCTGTGGTAATGACATCACCACTGACTTTAACGTTATTGCCACCAGTACGTCGGACGAGACACCACTCCCTCCACGCTGCTCCTTCGATGATGGCTATACCCGTCCTCCTACCCCATCCTATAATTCTGTCACATCATTCTGTGACAACACAGTGCTGGAGGTCCGTTACAAGTTCTACTGGTCAGGGTCACAGATAGTCCGCCTGAACGCCACAGTGATAATGGGAGAGGTACCGGCCAACAGCGTGGTCACTCAGAAATACTCGACGGAGTTTGTACACAGCTTCAGTGGACTGACTAACAATACCCAGGACGATTATCAGGGCCTGGGCACAAGCTTCGACCGGTCAGGCTGGCCGGGTAAGTAATCACCTCAATATGTACAACTGCTGATTCTTCATTGTATGAGAATATCAAATATTATAACAACTAGTACCTTTTATTGAAAATATGTCAAATTTGTTTTCAAGAAGTAAAACTCCAGGTAGACCATATACTGGCAATGATTGACATCCTTCCTACAAACAAATATGTAGTTGTTGATCTACTATTCCCCAACCAATACATTTCGTCCATCTTTGTTGTGAACAGGGTACTCCAAAGGGAAGCCACTCTTGACGGGATCAGCGATGACTTTGAGCGATGGGGCATTCTATGTTAATCAGAATACAAGCAGGCAACATGCACTGTGGAGCACTGGTAGGTACTGTAGATACGATTGACTGACTTATATAACGGTGTTCACAGATGGTGAGGCAACATGCACTGTGGAGCACTGGTAGGTACTGTGGATACGATTGACTGACTTATATAGCAGTGTTCACAGATGGTGAGGCAATATGCACTGTGGAGCACTGGTAGGTACTGTAGGTACGATTGACTGACCTATATAACGGTGGTCACAGATGGTGAGGCAACATGCACTGTGGAGCACTGGTAGGTACTGTAGATACGATTGACTGACCTATTTAACGGTGTTCACAGATGGTGAGGCAACATACACTGTGGAGCACTGGTAGGTACTGTAGGTACGATTGACTGACTTATATAACGGTGTTCACAGATGGTGAGGCAACATGCACTGTGGAGCACTGGTAGGTACTATAGGTACTGTAGGTACTGTAGGTACGATTGACTGACTTATATAACGGTGTTCACAGATGGTGAGGCAACATACACTGTGGAGCACTGGTAGGTACTGTAGATACGATTGTCTGACTTATATAACGGTGTTCACAGATGGGGAGGCAACATGCACTGTGGAGCACTGGTAGGTACTATAGGTACTGTAGGTACTGTAGGTACGATTGACTGACCTATATAACGGTGTTCACAGATGGTGAGGTAACATACACTGTGGAGCACTGGTAGGTACTGTAGGTATGATTGACTGACTTATATAACTGTGTTCACAGATGGTGAGGCAACATGCCCTGTGGAGCACTGGTAGGTACTGTAGGTATGATTGACTGACTTATATAACGGTGGTCACAGATGGTGAGGCAACATGCACTGTGGGGCACTGGTAGGTACTATAGGTACTGTAGGTACTGTAGGTGCGATTGACTGACTTATATAACGGTGTTCACAGAGGGTGAGGCAACATGCACTGTGGAGCACTGGTAGGTACTATAGGTACTGGGGGTACTGTAGGTACGATTGACTGACTTGTATAACGGTGGTCACAGATGGTGAGGCAACACAGGGTCATCATACTAGAAAGGTACACCCGACACATTAGCATGATAACATTTCGCGGAAGTCTCTATCTTGGAGAATCAATATTATTTATGTGAATTAAATATAGTTGTAAATCTTTACGGCCTTTGTTACTATTCCAGAAGAATTGATAATGTAATTATTGTTGTTTTATATGTTCAAATCCTTTGTTACAGTGTCCTGTGTTACAGTACAGGGGAAATTAATAATGTAATTATTGTTGTTTTAGATGTAAACGGCCTCTGTTACAGTGTCCTGTGTTACAGTGTCCTGTGTTACAGTACAGGGGAAAGTAATAATGTAATTACTGTTGTTTTAGATGTTCATGTCCTCTGTTACAGTGTCCTGTGTTACAGTACAGGGGAAATTAATAATGTAATTATTGTTGTTTTAGATGTTCATGTCCTGTGTTACAGTGTCCTGTGTTACAGTACAGAGGAAATTAATAATGTAATTACTGTTGTTTTAGATGTAAACGGCCTCTGTTACAATGCTGGAAGAAGAAGTATTCTGTTTGGGGAGAACTCTATAACAAGTTGTGATATATATCTCACTGCTGCTGAGCTGTTTGGGGATTGTGAAGATCTAAGGTAAATTTAAAGATACCACACATTAATCACACTTCTATTGAGTAGAGATGGTGAGGATTTATGAAAGAATACAGATGACAGAGATGTTTCAGTATAATTTTAAATTTCAAATTATTGCTATGATAGTATACCTCTCAGACTTATTTTAGCTCACATGAAATTTAAACTAACTATCATCAGATTGTGGGCTATTTAGATCATCCATGGTCCATGGTCCTCTCTTAATTTGATAATTATGGTTACTGCTATTTCTCAAGAATAATCAAATAGAGCTTTCTCATATTTCATATGAAGGTTTCCCTTGGTGTGTGTTTGTGGATTTTTATTTTGAGACTGATTGGAAAAAACAGGTGGCTGCCACGCAGCCATCTTGGATTTTGAAAATTTACATGTTTTATCACTATTTCTCAAAAAGCAATTGATATATCTTTCTCACATTTCATATGTAGGTTTCAGTTGGTCCTTTGTTATGCATGTTTCACTATGGGTTTGATTGGATAAAACAGGATGGCCACCAGTCAGCCATTTTAGATTTTGAAGTTTGTTATCATCACTCTTTCTCAAGAAGTAAAACAATGACCTCACTTAGAAAGGTCAACCCAGCTGTATGAAATTTAATCCAAAGACACCACAATATGCATATAATGTTGACTAGACTATAAATCCAACAGTAGAGAGAGAAAGAGAAATGAAGAGAAAAGAACAAACTCATACAGAACAAATGAAGATCTGATGATGATGGGCACCAAGACCCCTCTTGGATCTCTTGTTCTGAACTGTAAGGCCTAGAGTCAAATTTGATATGTAGCTTGATTGATTGAAGGACTTAAATACCTTAACCTACATTTCCAAGACACCAGGGTCAAATATATTTAAAACTTACAATGAAATCTACAGTATCATATTGAAGCCTAGACTTACATAGTTTACTGGGATGTGCTTAAGGGAATCATTTTGATCTACTTTCAAGGTAAAAAGTGTTGAAATTTTAACAGGTGAGCAGTTAAATATCCACCATCTTCATGAGTTTTGTGAAATGGTGTTACTACTGGTAATGCACTAGTTTCATAATCATGTCAGTATTTTCAAAATGTTTAAAAAATTACTCTGACAATTGTTATCTTCTGTTGGCAGAAAATTATTAATCAATCGTCTGAATAACCTGATGGCTGCTGATAGAATTGGACGGTTTGGTAACAACAATCCTTACGACAGTACCCACTGGACTACAGTACTGAGGTAAAGCCTATTCACTGTTCATGTGTAGGTAAAACAACAATCCTTATGACAGTACGCACTGGACTACAGTACAGAGGTAAAGCCTAGTCACTGTTCATGTGTAGGTAAAACAACATCAATCGTCTGAATAACCTGATGGCTGCTGATAGAATTGGACGGTTTGGTAACAACAATCCTTACGACAGTTCCCACTGTACTACAGTACTGAGGTAAAGCCTAGTCACTGTCCATGTGTACATGTAGGTAAAACAACAATCCTTACGACAGTTCCCACTGGACTACAGTACTGAGGTAAAGCCTATTCACTGTTCATGTGTAGGTAAAACAACAATCCTTATGACAGTACGCACTGGACTACAGTACAGAGGTAAAGCCTTGTCACTTTTCATGTGTAGGTAAAACAACAATCCTTATGACAGTACGCACTGGACTACAGTACAGAGGTAAAGCCTAGTCACTGTTCATGTGTAGGTAAAACAACAATCCTTATGACAGTACGCACTGGACTACAGTACAGAGGTAAAGCCTTGTCACTGTTCATGTGTAGGTAAAACAACAATCCTTACGACAGTACCCACTGGACTACAGTACTGAGGTAAAGCCTAGTCACTGTTCATGTGTAGGTAAAACAACAATCCTTACGACAGTACCCACTGGACTACAGTACTGAGGTAAAGCCTAGTCACTGTTCATGTGTAGGTAAAACAACAATCCTTACGACAGTACCCACTGGACTACAGTACTGAGGTAAAGCCTAGTCACTGTTCATGTGTAGGTAAAACAACAATCCTTACGACAGTACCCACTGGACTACAGTACTGAGGTAAAGCCTAGTCACTGTTCATGTGTAGGTAAAACAACAATCCTTACGACAGTACCCACTGGACTACAGTACTGAGGTAAAGCCTAGTCACTGTTCATGTGTAGGTAAAACAACAATCCTTACGACAGTACCCACTGGACTACAGTACTGAGGTAAAGCCTAGTCACTGTTCATGTGTAGGTAAAACAACAATCCTTACGACAGTACCCACTGGACTACAGTACTGAGGTAAAGCCTAGTCACTGTTCATGTGTAGGTAAAACAACAATCCTTACGACAGTACCCACTGGACTACAGTACTGAGGTAAAGCCTAGTCACTGTTCATGTGTAGGTAAAACAACAATCCTTACGACAGTACCCACTGGACTACAGTACTGAGGTAAAGCCTAGTCACTGTTCATGTGTAGGTAAAACAACAATCCTTACGACAGTACCCACTGGACTACAGTACTGAGGTAAAGCCTAGTCACTGTTCATGTGTAGGTAAAACAACAATCCTTACGACAGTACCCACTGGACTACAGTACTGAGGTAAAGCCTAGTCACTGTTCATGTGTAGGTAAAACAACAATCCTTACGACAGTACCCACTGGACTACAGTACTGAGGTAAAGCCTAGTCACTGTTCATGTGTAGGTAAAACAACAATCCTTACGACAGTACCCACTGGACTACAGTACTGAGGTAAAGCCTAGTCACTGTTCATGTGTAGGTAAAACAACAATCCTTACGACAGTACCCACTGGACTACAGTACTGAGGTAAAGCCTAGTCACTGTTCATGTGTAGGTAAAACAACAATCCTTACGACAGTACCCACTGGACTACAGTACTGAGGTAAAGCCTAGTCACTGTTCATGTGTAGGTAAAACAACAATCCTTACGACAGTACCCACTGGACTACAGTACTGAGGTAAAGCCTAGTCACTGTTCATGTGTAGGTAAAACAACAATCCTTACGACAGTACCCACTGGACTACAGTACTGAGGTAAAGCCTAGTCACTGTTCATGTGTAGGTAAAACAACAATCCTTACGACAGTACCCACTGGACTACAGTACTGAGGTAAAGCCTAGTCACTGTTCATGTGTAGGTAAAACAACAATCCTTACGACAGTACCCACTGGACTACAGTACTGAGGTAAAGCCTAGTCACTGTTCATGTGTAGGTAAAACAACAATCCTTACGACAGTACCCACTGGACTACAGTACTGAGGTAAAGCCTAGTCACTGTTCATGTGTAGGTAAAACAACAATCCTTACGACAGTACCCACTGGACTACAGTACTGAGGTAAAGCCTAGTCACTGTTCATGTGTAGGTAAAACAACAATCCTTACGACAGTACCCACTGGACTACAGTACTGAGGTAAAGCCTAGTCACTGTTCATGTGTAGGTAAAACAACAATCCGTACGACAGTACCCACTGGACTACAGTACTGAGGTAAAGCCAAGTCACTGTTCATGTGTAGGTAAAACAACAATCCTTACGACAGTACCCACTGGACTACAGTTCTGAGGTAAAGCCAAGTCACTGTTCATGTGTAGGTAAAAGTATTTCTACCACAAATTTTTCAGTTTGTAAACATCGATTTACAGTCCTTCACTTGAAACAGAACAACTAATCATGTCCACTAAAGTATGTCTACACATGTTGGTGTTTCAGGGGTAACCTGTCTTACGTGTGTGAGCGCCCAGTCAATATGACAGACGCTGACGTGATTGCCAGAGAATCGAGCGGTATGTGTACGGATGTGGTGACGGGAATCAACCTAGAGGTGATGTATGCAGAGACGGGTAAATCCAACAACCAACCTATATACGAGGTTATAGGCTCCTTTGTCAGGTATGACTACCTTTTTTCACTGTTGTTTTCTGAGATGTACACATGAGGGTTTACATGTTAATTCTGTTCAACTCATTCACCCCTGAAGACATATTTGAACTCTTCCAATTCAAAGGTTGGAATAGTTCATTATGAAATTTCAGGGTTGAATGATTCAATATGGTGTTTGTTGAAAATGTATTCTGCTATAAACACCAACAAAAGTAAAATTCAGATGGCTAAGTTTTGTTGGTTCCATAGTTCAAGATCCTTTTCTCAAAATAAACATTCTACAAAATAATCAGTCCTTACAGTTACAAAATAAAATGCTAGAGGCCAAAAATAGAAGTCATAAAAAGTGTAACAAAACATCAAGATATATACATATCAAAAGTATGAGGATAAAACTCCCTTTCTGACCGTATATTTGTGAGATCTTACCAGCGTACTGTGAAGAATGGTATGTAATTATTAAACGGCCATCACATTACCGAAGGGTTTGATCTATCTGAATTTGTTTTAAATATTCATTTTTATGTCGAACATTATTTTACTTCAAGGGAAAATGATATTTTTTTGTAAACTTATTGTTTCAGTTACACTAACATCACCCTAAACATGACTTGTGGTACGAGCGGAGACTCTGCCTGTCAGGGTACAGGTGTACAGGCTTTCCCCATACACAGCTCCGTCAACTTTGTCAAGGTGTCGGCCCAGACTCCACCCAGGATCGACAGGTAGGGTTGTCAGTGAAAATACAGGTCTCTTCTTCCTTTTCATACTGTAAAGTTTACATCTGAAATCACACTGGTACCTATATGATTGATAATTTAGAAATCTGAGAGAATCTGAAGATATTCAGTGTTAAATTATTATGCTCCTTGTACTGATTGGTAAAGCCTGCTATATACTGTAAATGTAACCACATTAGTAGTTATCATGATTGAGTGCTATTTAATTCATATTCAAAAGTGCTGAATTCTAATATTAAACTGCTAAATGGAATACCATTGCATTCCTGCAAGCCAAAGATACCTGAAGTGCCTTCCAACAATCATTTAATCTGAGAAATCGTTTTCCATTTCCTGTTTCTTTACAGGTGGTTGGAGTTCTATGACGAGTCTATCTGCAGTAAGGACACGTGTTGGGACGAACTGCTCTACCCCCTGTCCAGTGCCTATGACGGCGACTCTAAACAGTTCGCCCTCGCTATGGTTCTCGTCCTCATCCTCTTCATCCTTGGCTACCTAATGCTTGTCCGGCCATGGTGGTCTATCAATTTATAACACTTGATAGTGGTCAGTCATCAGAAAACTGGACACAGGTCAATACAATGTAAACATAGTGATCCTGAATCTTTGACGGTCAACAGTACAGATTCTAACGCCAGTGATTTGGAAGGATCTGTCCAGATTCAATTTGCATATTTAGTGCTGAAATGTTTGCCTGTTAACCCAGTAGATCCTATTTTGGTATATTTCAGAAATAAATATATAGGGGAGGGACGGGGGGTAGTTTTTTTGTGTCCATTTTACAATTGTAAGTGCCCCTGGATAGTAACCTGTCTTCACATCTCAATATTTCATATATTTAATGAGTCAGATCTATAATTACAAAAGATTCAGTTTTCATAAGAATTGCATCAATTGTAGGTGGGTTTCACTGAATTTTGTATCATGACGGACAGATATGGAATTCCTTATATATATATATATAACAGTCAGGTAAATGATTTTTATCAATTACTGATCATGCTTAATGGCCATCTTATTCAAAGATGTTGATTTCCCTGGCTAAAGTTCCTTTTTCATGACAGATGGTGACTTCTCGACTTCTCGATGGATGTATTTATTGAGAGATTTCTGTCAATTAATTTTCTGGAAATGAAATGAAAAAAGGATTTGTTTGGATATGCAAATCAACAAGTATGGAAACTAGCTGATTGTGAACATATATGTAGCTGGAAAGTTTTATTTTGTGCAAGTGTAAATCTCAAACATTGAAAATTAGATCTCACAGGAACATTATGAAAATTGTATCCATGTTCACATGTGGATATGCTGCATTATGTAAAATTGTTGTTAATATAAACACATATCATGACTCAACTGCTGTGATCTTAACTCATTCACCCTTGATGACACATTTGAACTCTTCCAATTTAAAGGTTGGAATAGTTTATTTTGAAATTTCAGGGGTGAATGAGTAAAGGCATGTTGTGAGAGAGGTGTGTAGGGCATGTATGTTATGAAGTGATTATACAGAGTATGTGTAGTGAGGTGAAATATAACGCTGCAAGGTGTGAGATTGGTGAGTGTGGTGTGGTGTGGGAGGTGAGAATTTAAGATTGTAAGGTGGGCGTGTATGTTGGCAGAACAAGCGGTACTGTGATACTAGGATTACATTGTGAGTGTTGCATCAGGAACTCAATAAAAAATGTTGTTATATATGAGAATACGGGAAAAAAATATAACAAAATCCATAACAATATTAAAGTTCCTTACTTTGTATAATTTACCCCTACAACAAACAACAAACAAAACACCCCCAATTAAAGTAATCCGGGCCTACAATGCCAGTACATATACAACCTTTGATGAATACCGATTCTTGTATTCTGGGGCTTGCCGTATATAAATACATGTATTAAATTTCACATGTGCTGCTTATATAGATATACTGTAATGACAGATATAAAGTCATTAGGAGCTTGTGTTGATTTAATGGTGTCCGAATGGAACCTAGGAGATCCGTGCTGGCTCCAAACTACCCTGTAGATAGTTCTCTATAATACTAAAACCGTCCTCCTGATAGCATTGAACAATTTTGGTAAAAACATATGTTTGTATTTTCAGTAATAGCTTGTATGCAGTGTAGATTATATAATACTGTATAGGGTTTCAATTGTGAGGGATGAAAATGAAGATTTAGTCCTGGCACAGATTAGCAGGTATAAAATTTGTACAACCTGCTAGAAGTCCAGGATCAGTCTCTTTATTACGACAACAGTTAAGCAATAGATGAATTTCCATGGTTATAATGCATTTTTCAAGCTTTGAAAAAGTAAATTTTGAGCCCTATTCCGTCTTTGCGTATTGCAGAGTTATCTTCTCTTGTGAGCAGGTATTGATTGTTACGTCATTAGTTCGTGTGAGAAGATTACGCTGTTTTCTCAAAAATTGATGACATTACTCTCACAAACAAATGACGTAACAATCAATACCTGCTCTCAATAGAAGATAACTCTGCAATACGCAAAGACGGAATAGGGCTCAACAAAATAACATCAACTCAAAATGTGGTCGGAGTACTGAAATTGTGAAATTAACTCCCGGCAACAGTTGCGTGGTTTAGAGTAATACCGTCCTTACCTTGTACGTTTGTGAAGCGTTAAGAGTGACTATTTATGGTCGTGAGAGAATTATACGAACGTTATACTGTGAACATGTAGATTAGTGTGAATCTATTTATAACTTAACGCATTTTAAATGAAATTTGAATAAATTATAATAGAAAGAAAAAGTCTTGTCTTTTTTTGTTCATTTCCATTTAGAGTAAGGACTAACCCGAAACTGGTGGTCATTTTTAGAAAAGAGCCTTTGAGCTATGGTATGGTGCTGTATCCAATATCCTTCCATCTATCAACCTTGTTTTGTAACCCAAGACAAGGTCTCTTCGGACCTATTCGGTTGTTAGGGTTGTCATCTGTCTCGCCAGAGACCTAAAGTAAAGGGACCGCCGACTCCCAGTGGCGGGAAAATATGTTACTGATTTCGCAGTGCCCTCACCGGGTGTCATACAATATCAAGGCCGATAACTCGTACCGTCTATTCGCCATTGGTAAACACTAGAGTGCTGTCGATAGAAATTTTGTTAAGCATCGATTTCACACAACATGAATTAAACGAACTGTTTGAGGTATGTGTGTTATTCTAATATTATATTCCCACACCTGCAATAGAAAAAAAGCAATACCTAAAGCATTATTCGTGGTCAATAACATAATGTTCACGAAGCAGCCGAGTCGGCTTTTTTCAGTTTTTAGGCTGTAGTTTCACTTTCACTTCACTGGTCAGGTGCCGTTCTGGTGATAACCTCTTGTGAGAACATTCACCTATTTTGTATGTCAATACTTGTCCACAATATATTTGTAATCAATGTGCCTTGTATGTATGCTATGCAGTGAGCTGCACCCACATGTACAAGCTGACAAGTACACATGCCGTGATGACGATGGTTCCCTTGTTGACTCACTCTCTGGTTCCGGCCCGGGTCCTGGACAGCAATATATATATCCTAAACCTTCTTGGACACGTCCCGTGTATACTTTAGGCCATGTTGCTTTATGTTTTCAAAATTAATCATAAGAATAAGAAAGCAGATATTAATAATCAGATTATTGTTTTTATTGCACATAATCTCATAAATTTATAATATGAAATTAACGGTAACAACTTAAATATAACATTTTTGTCTTCTCACTTATTTTTTTATTACATACAGCTTCATACTCAACCTCTCACAAACATGTGACATCATATAAAATTATAATAATGTAAACAAATGAGTCATTACAATAGCAAGTACCGTGTCATTATTTGGAGTAGAAAGATATATTTTTTAAATTAAATAAAAACAATTAAATCACGACCACATGTTTACCTATATTACACTTGTCACTGTGCAGTGGATTCCACTAAAATTGCATACAGGTCTGTTAATAACTTAATAGTTTTTTTTCTTTAATTATTTTAACTTATTTGCATATTTTGGTGTATATTTCTGTTAATAACATATTTCTGTCAATAAAATATTTCTCTTAATTGCATATTTCTGTTAATAAATTCTTTTCGAGGAAAATATAATAAAATATAGATCTTAACAGCCAGTC